TTCAGTTCAGATATCTTTTTAAATATTTGTTCACTCCTATATGCAGAGATGCAACAATTGAGTACACAAAGCATGTCATAAATTTGGGAGACCAACTTTTTGGAATATTATCAGAGGCTCTTGGACTCGAACCTGACCACCTAAGGGAATTAGAATGCGCTAAAGATTACAAGTTTGTGTGCCACTACTATCCACCATGCCCAAAACCAGAACTAACTTTGGGAGCCAGCAAGCACTCTGATCCTTCTTTCCTCACTATTCTTCTTCAAGACCAAATTGGTGGCCTTCAAGTCCTTCATGATAATCAATGGGTAAATGTAAACCCAATTTCAGGTGGCATAGTAGTAAATATAGGGGATTTTCTCCAGGTATGTAACCAAACACATTATTTTTTTCTGTTATCATAATGTTGCGCGTGTGTGTGTGTGTAGTCACCAACTTTTCTATGGCTTCCTGAAAAATTTTCCAGGCTATATCAAATAACAAGTTTCAGAGTGCTCAACATAGAGTGCTTGCGAACCGCATTGGTCCAAGAGTTTCCATAGCATGCTTCTTCAAAGGACAGAGTAATACTGATGCACCGGCCAAGTACTACGGTCCGATCAAAGAGCTTATATCAGAAGAAAACCCTCCCGTTTATAGAGATTTCTCGATAAGTGAATACTATGCAAAGTTCTATTCTCAAGGGCTTGATGAGAAGTCTGGTATTGACCATTTCAGGCTTTGAAGCCAACAACTTTCACAAGGTGAAACTTTGAATATTTACATAACAGCTTGGGTAATAAAGTTGTTTAATCACACATCGTGGAGTTCCACGTACAATCACCGGCTTTCCTTGTTATATATTTGCAAGATTTATAAGAGTTATAATACTTAAACATCTATTTGATAATCATTTTATTTTTAGTTTTTAGCTTGAGATATAGAAAAATCATATGGGAGAAATCAGAGATAAAAACAGTAGGTTTTAGTGAGGGAGGTGAAGAGAAAACAAGAAAGAAAATAAAATAGTTAAAATGACAACTTAAAATTGGTTCTCCTCTATCTCCCTAAAAGCAGTAGGTTTTAGTCTTTTCACATTTCTTCAACACCTCTCTCATTATCCTTCCCTCTCCCTTATATTCCCATCATATTTTTCCCATATATGTATCCTCTATCTGGAACTCAAAAATGAAAAACTAAAAACTAAACTTTATCATTAAAAGTGTGTTGGATAACCGTTTAGTTTTCAATAGCATTAGGAGTATCAATTGTTCAAACTCCACTGGACTTTTGACTAGATTTCCTTAAATATGACTAGACGATACATACATGTATTTAATATAATTGCCATCTCAATGGTTCGATAGTGGTCTTCTATTTTATTCACATGAATTATATTCGACGGTTAGATAATCGTTGCTCTTCTATCAGCTCGATTTTGAGTAACCTGATTAATGATTATGTAGGCTTCAAATTTCAGCATCTTTCGGTGGATGCATTGAAGCACTAATGATTTTTGTTATTTTATAAAATTGATTCAAAGAAATTCAACTGCAATGCCAAATTTCATCCAGTTATAGTGGATTACATTCCATCTTTTATCCTACAAATTTTCCGAAACTGATTTATCCTACTCGTTAACTACCTTTGGAATAGTTGAAGCTTTGTCTCCATTGAGCTAGAATTGTGGGAGCATATGAGATCTGAATAACTACCGAGTTTTAAAGATCTAATCAAACCAAGATTTCCATTGACCACCTATAAGCTGCCTACATATTTGCTTCGCCATTTTTTGTTATTCTTTCATCAAATCTTAAGAAAACCATTTTGACCAAACGATATGTCATCATCGTTGAACATAGGTAATCCGATAACCATTTTTAACAAAGCTATATACTTAATTAGTGTAGTATCCGATAACTGTTGATGTCAGTGAAACACTACAAGAATCATATTTTTTTTATTTTTTTTTATTTTGTTATGTTGTATGTAGTCACCAACTTTTCTAAAACTTCCTCAAAATTATTCCAGGCTATATCAAATGGCAACTTTCAGAGTGTTCAACATAGAGTGCTTGCGAACTGCATTGGTACGAGAATTTCTATAGGATGCTTCTCCAAAGGACAGATTAGTTCTGCTGCACCGGACAAGTCCAACGGTCCGATCAAGGAGCTTATCTCAAAAGAAAACCCTCCCCTGTATAGAGATTTCTTGATGAGTGAAATTCAGTGAATACTATGGCAACTTCTTTTCTCAATGCCACGACGATGAGAAGCCTACTCTAGAGACTTGATTACAACTTCCGAAGGGTGAAACTTCGGATATTGTATTGTTATAGCTGAATAAAGGTAACGATCACAACATTGTGGATTTCCACGTAAAAACACAGCGATTCCTTGTTATATATGTATATTATAATTTCTCAATTCTGACACAAGGTACTTATTAGATCTAATAAGTACATTAGATCTAATAGAATTATTTTGCTGTATCCAGCCTAATACCAACCCAACCCATTTCATGAATAAAATGTGACCAATTAACCAACCAACAAAACTACTTGTTACAAATAACATCTTGTTGTTGCATCGAAACATATAAATGTTGACTAATCTGACTAACATTGAACTTGGTAAAATGAAATGGTTGAATAATTGAAAAATGAGATTATTCAGGAATAACCATTGAATGCTAAGATTACGCATTGAATTTCTGGTAGTAGATCCATAATCAAAAAAGTGTTTGTGATTGTTCCAGAAGAAATGAAACAAAAGATACGGTAAAGCTAGGACAGTTATTGTATGAGGTCTACCCAATGCTAGATGCAGAGGCACATAATAGATCGATATGAACATCATGAGCTGTCCCGTAATAAAACCGGTTGTTGCTGATACTTTCTTCTCGGTTCCTTCTTCTCCTTCTTCCATAACCCGAGCTCGGAGAAGGAAGAGATAAGAGGGCCCTATGGAGAATGTGGTCAGAAATCCATAATAGAGTCCGACCACAACGACTGAAGGATACTAGATTACCTAGCATAAAATATTTTAAAATCATCACAAACCTCCGTTTTTTTCTTTTCTATTACAATTTCTGGATTATTATATGATGATTTTTAACCTTCCATACATATATAGAAATAGAAAGAGATAGACTAGAAACGACATCTCTTATCTCAATGACACCAAAGGGATATTAAATGAATGGAATTGAGATATGGATGGAATATAATGAAATAGAGCCGTTTTGTGGTTCCCTATGAAATGAGGCATGGAGCGGAGCCACTACGAAGAAGTTCCGGGAGTTACAAGGGAAACTTCGAGCTCATATTGGTCATGGGTTGAGAATGGGAATTGAACTCTATGAGATCTAATCTCCTGTTGTTCCTCAGTAGCTCAGTGGTAGAGTGGTCGGCTGTTAAATGACTAGTCATAATAATCATTAAGGTTAGAGAAAATTTGATAACTATTTTGTTTTTATTTTTTATTTTTATTATAAAGAAAGGAGAGATGAAGAATAGTGGGGAATTGGGAAATAAATAAAAAGGAAAGAAAAATAAATAAAATCTCAGGTGAAAATAATTTAAAAGGTTTTTAGTTTTTCCTTAATGTTTCTTTATCTATAACTCAAAGCTAGAAAAAATAAAAACTAAAATTGAAATAAATAGGGTTTAGAATGCTGAACTTTTGAACTTGAAGTTTGATGGAGCTTTGTAGTTATTGATCTTTGAATTGAAAATGTATTAAGAGTTAGGACTGACACCAATAGCATAACAATCTATATAATTTCTTAACTTTGTTAGCTCAATCTTTTTCGTGTGCAATTTTTCAGCTTTGGTAACCAATCGTGGAGAAATTTAAAGTTTGAAATGCATCAAAATCTAAAGTTGAATAACTAATCTAGCTACCATCCAAAGATTAATAACTATAAAACTCCATCAAACCTCGACTTCAACATCTTCATCTATGACGTTGTATTAATAAAAATAAAAATTAAATTAAATTAAATTAAATTTAAAATAATTAAAATAAAATAAAAATAAAAAAAAAAAGAACATTCTTATTTAGCTATTAGGTACCAAACAATGATCATCCAGTTGGATTTTGGACCGTTTGACTTTTTTCTTGGTCTGGTTCAAGGGAATTGATGCTCACCCTTACTGAATTCTCATAGTTTTGAGAACAATTTACATCATATTAAAGTATTATCATTTAATTTTCAGTGTTATTTCGGTTTTATACACCATCACTAATGGAAGTAAAACTCATAGTTTTTGGCAAAGCTAAACATATGACGACATACAATTTTTCTTTCTTGGTACGTACCATTAGTAATCTAAAAATCTCCGTCTAGGCGCTAGGCTGCTAATCACCGTCCCGATTAATGCTTAGACATTTGAAAATTAAGAAAGGGTGTCTAAACCAGCTGAATCGCCCACCTAGACAGCCTAGGTTGCGACTCACTTAGACAGAAAATAGATAACTTTCAATTTGCATTTAATTTTTTTAATAAATTGTAAGAGACTTGTTAAATACTTAAATAAGCACACACTATATGCTTGTTCCCCATGTTTTTATTATGTTCTAATACTACATAATACATATGTCATTCTATTTTTTAGTTTATGATGAAATTATATATATTTTAAATATAAATACACTTATTTACACAAATTATAATGGATTTACTTAAATTTGCTTAGTCCTCCTAAGCGCCCGTCTAGACCTCGCCTAGCCGTCTAGGCACTAGGTCCCAACCTGCCGTCCGACTAGCGCCTAGCATGTTTTGGAACCTTGAGTGTATGTGTAATGTAAGTCTCTCTAGATTTGAAAAATACATTTGCTCACTTGATGAGCGTCACTAATGCACTGTTTATTGTTAAATGAGTTTAAATTTAGATTTAGTAGGCCAGGTGGCATGGTCTGGTGACATCATACGTGATTGAATTTACGCGCCACTTGGCGCGTCCGGGGGAAACAATCAATTTTCATGTTGAGCGGGCCAGATTTGCCCACGCTATTTGACCGGAAGCATGTTGGTTGGGGGAGAAGTTGGGAATCGCATTTTTGTTCAGCTCGTCTTCTTGATTCATTCACTTCATCTTTCTCTTTCCCTTTTCTCTGTTGTAAATTGCAGTCCAAGTTCTTCACTTTCCACAACAATCAAACGTACCCAGTTGGAATTTACCTCCAATTATTTTCTGGGTAGCAGAGATTTGGCATCCTGAAAGGAAAGGAATAGTGGGTTGGTGAGCTTTCTTCTTATTGTTTTTTGGGTGATGAGTTTTTTATGTAAAGGTAAGATGGAGTTTTTTCTATGACCCAGTAAGAATCTGATACTTTTTCTGGGTTTTGAGAGGAATAATCAAATGAGGGATTTTCCTGGGACTCCTGGGACTTTGACTGGCCTTCTTCTCAGGATTTCCCAATGCGTCTTTGCTGCCGGGTCCATTGCTTCCATGGCCACCACTGCCAGCTTCTTCAATTTCACTGCTTTCTGGTATTTTGCTTTCCTGACTCACTGATTTCTTATTAGATTTGATTGCAGAAGAACAGATTTTTGGCTATACTGTAGTGTTTAACTGAACAGGATTGACACACTTTCGGGATACGTAAACATTTAAATGTAAGCAGAAGGAATTGGGAAGTTCCTCTGCAGGAAGTTGAAACTCTGCTGAAATTTTGACTAGATTTGGTAAAATATGACTTGATAATTCAATTAGCAATATTAGAATTTGGAACTAGCAAATGTGCTGGGCAGTGATCTTCATTGGCCTTGTTGAATTGGTTGCTATCACCTCGATTTTGCATGACTCAACTATATAGGTTTCAGATTTCAGCTTCTTTTGGTTGATAGATTTAAGCACTGTTGAGTTTCTATGTCATATAATTGATTCACTACTACTTTACTGCAATGCCAATTTCATCCACTTATGACGCATCACAAGCCATTTCTTGTACCGAAAGATGTCGGATATTGGTTTAAGAGAATGCTGATTTTGCAGCTACCTGATTGCTTCAATGGGTCTGCAACTGATCTGGAGTTTGGTACTTGCATTGCTTGATGCATATTCCTTGGTGAAAAAGAAGGTCCTCCACAACCCTGTATTGGTTAGCCTCTTTGTTGTTGGAGACTGGGTCAGTCTCTATAAATCTCTGACTTCGTTTTACTCTTACATGAAATCTGTGTTCGTACTTTATAGCGCTTGCCATTTAACGGCTTACTCATTTAATGTTTCTATAGGTTACAGCAACATTGTCTCTTGCAGCAGCTTCGGCCTCAGCGGGCGTAACCGTGTTGTACTTTAGTGATCTGAATGACTGCAATTACGGAAGGGAATGCCAAAAATACCAAATGGCAGTTGGTTTGGCATACCTGAGCTGGGTAACAGTTGCAATTTCTTCTCTGATTATGCTCTGGCTATTGGCAGCATGTTAGATCTCTTGTATTTGTATAGGCCATAGGATTTGTTTGATCTCATAGTAGTCCTTCTTTGTCATACATATTTCATTTTTCCTTTGCAACCAAAACAAGAAATTTCAGTGTCGATAGAAAAGGAAACAAACTTGATAGCGCATTGCGGTAGAATACTCGAAAATTACTTTTATTCTGTTGAGATAGATCAGTTGGAAATGAGTTGTAACAACTGGAACTGTAGAATTGTTACATGTACTTGTATAGAGTTGAATTATAAGCAAAGGGAATTACTACTTTTTCTATTGAAGTTGTAAAAATTGATGATGATCCGAATTGGATGGTGAATATTGCTTCGCTCCTTACATTTAACTGCAATTACAAACTGACACATATTGATTTAACATGTAAAAATCACAAAAAGGTTTATGCACATGTGTCACATTTATCAGTAAGGAGAGAGAGAGAGAGAGGAAGGCTAGGATTGATTTTGCATTCATAAATTATATACAAAAAATTTTAACTTTTTCTGTATTATTGGTGAGGCATCTTACTGGTACATATTGATTTGCTTTTAATACAAGAAAAAAAATAAAAAAAAAGCAGATGCTAGTCTTGTGCAGCTTTTGTAAATGCTTCAGGGAACATTATTGGGTGGGTTCTTTTCTTTTCTTTCAAAACAGCAAGTTGCATAGTAAGCATAACGCAATGCCATCTACTATTCTACTTTGAGTGGTCCTCGCCTCACTCCTCATGCTCATGTGTCTACTTGATGTTCCTCCTCTGTCCGAATCCCACTGGATGTATGCTAATTATTTTATGCCAAAACAAAATCCACATGAACTCTTAGCTCACTGGAAATTATGTCCATTTATGGTATTATATTTTTTAGAGTAGCCTGCTTTAATTTTGCTTGTGTTTGAGCAAAGAAACACTTCATTTGTGTCATCGATAGTGGTAACATGAATTATGCTAGGGATAGTCGTCCTTGGTGCGAATGACTCCCAACCATTGATACAAGTGTAGATCCAACTGAATCAATGGCTAGGAACCTAGGAGTCATATACATGCATGGACGACTCGCCAAGCATTCCTCTTGTATGTCTTTTGTAGGTGTATTTGGTGGTTGTGGCAAAATCCTTCGTGTTCTCTGGTATTGGAGCATATGCCATATGGTGTGACTTTTCACTACTTGATTGTTAGATTTTTGGCAGAGCATTCGGTTTTTGTATATTATATATCGGAGCATAATGAAGTTTTGACAGATGTTGTGGGATAAGTGGCAGCAAGAGAAGTATCATTTGACATTGCATCAAGAAGCAAAATGATTACAAAAAAAAGTAAGTGGAAGCAGAGATTGTTGGGTTAGTTGTTGGATAGGGTCCACTGGCAGTGGCAGGTGAAAGTGTGCTATCAGCCACTACTTCAACCCTTTTGTCTTTCCAAAATTAGATTCAGAGGCTATAATTAATCATGGCCGGCAGAAGCTACTCAACAAAATGATTCCCACATTGGAAGAAGTATTATGTATGTAAATCTGAAAGATGAATGTAGGAAATGTCGCCTCTTTCATTGTGTGGTCCTGTCCTGTGGAATAGTGAAAGTGAAGTTGTGTTTGATACCAGATCCAGATGTGGTGGTGACCTGGTGGGGCTTGGGTTGAGCACCTGAGCTCAGCGGAAGAGAAAACTATTCTTTCAAGATGAGGTGGTGGTGGACTGGTGGTGTTTACTTTACGAATAGTTTGTTTAAATGACTTATATGAAATGAGTTTACAGTCATTGTAGCGTTTGATCTAATAAAACAATGACATGCATCCATTTCTACTAAATCAATTACCCGTTCCATGTGCCCATCTTCTAAGCTTTCTCGAACCAAGAACAAGAAAAACTCACCTCTCATGTTATACCCTACCAATACCCTACCAACCTGGTCATATGAAGTCATAGATATCAAATGAATTTAAGCAGGATGTATCTTTATACTCGTGTACAAGAGTCTTGCCCAGTCGCAATAGTTGAATTAGGGCTCGTGGAAGTAGCAGTGGTACGGAAGATTAATGGTTACGATTGAAAATAGAAGATCAAATAATTGTGAAGTCACCTATTTCCTTGACAAGTGACATTGGGAATATATAGACTAGCAACTTCTTAGTTTAACATTCTCGTTCTATCTTTAGGACTCTTCTCGTTTCTCATAATGAAGACTATTGCGTAATAATCCAAACCATCTATCTTATAGCTAGGTGACCCTTTTTAAGATTAATTTTGCCTGATACCAACGAAACCCAAAATCGTTTAGTCATATATCCAAAACAAACCATGTCATTGTGTTATTATACAAATATCTGACAAGATTAATCGAAGGTTGAACGACTAATGATTTTGTTGATTTTTTGTAAAGTTGATATTAAAGGGGTGGATTAGAAATTAGGCGAATTGGATCGTCATGCAACATGTTAGAACAAAAATGAGAGCCGAAATGGTCCAGCTAAGAAGGTCGGCAGCATCCCTAGAAAATATGTATAATATATAGGATAGGTAACCAATTTAACTGATAAAGAAATACATGATGATCATTTGCAATCACATCAATGATAAAATCTTCATTGCTAATGCAGTTCTCTAATGGTTCGCTAAGATAAATGATGCAAGAGTCATTTTCCGAGGGGATGCCATGAAATCAATCGGCAGACAAATTGCTAATTTGGTAGAACAGACTACACACAAATTGATGATAAATTCTATAAATAAAAATCTTCTCTAATTGAAAGTTACGTTATAATCATCAACGAATATTGGATATACTTATTGGGATCGAATATCTTCTGCTATTCCACTTATTTATTCTGTGAATTAAGCCAGAAGATTAATGAAGAACCTAATACTGTCAACATGAAATAAGAATCAAGAACTTAACTATTCCATCATGCCCTATATGAACGTATACATGCATGATGTGCTCCTCCAGCTTGTCTAGAACTGAAACAAAAGAAGGAAGAAAGGCGGCCGGACAACCGGAGGAGGTTATGGCACACGAGTTACGTAGTAGTAACCTTAAGGGACTTTACAGGAAGTTCAAGCCACACCTCCTCATGATATTAGCCCAGATGGGGTATACATTTCTGTATTTTATCACAGAAGCGTCCTTCAATCATGGGATGAACCCTCACGTCTACATAACTTATCGAAATATTGTGTCCGGCGTAGTGATGCTCCCTTTTGCTTATTTTCTTGAAAGGTATCAATATTGTGTATAAAGCTGCATTTGTACTTGAATAGGACAACATTCTTTAGTCTAATAGCCTAACAACATAATATGTCAGACGGTCTAGTAAGAGACACTTCCTGATTCTTGAAACATGTTCATGTGTGACTCAAATATTTCTACATATTGTCAATCATGTCCTGCGGTTAACTATTGATCTTTGATTCCTCACCTGCAGAACAGAGAGACCAAGGCTCACTTTTGCACTTTTCTTGGAACTTTTTTTACTCTCTCTATTGGGGTAAGGACATGTAGAATTAGAACCCATACATGCTTCTGATGAAGGGACAAATCAAAGCGCCAACTAAGTTCTCTTTCTTTTTTTTATTATTCTTTCTTTCCAATGTTTGCAGTGTGGGCTTGACATTAAACATGTACTTTGCAAGCTTAAGATACACCTCTCCGACCTTCCTTGCATCAATAATCAACACCATAGCGTCCCTAACCTTTGTAATTGCAATTGTACTGAGGTTAGTACACCTACTTATCCGTAAATCCAGACATTAATTCACATTTTATCCTTAATAAATTACGTTTTTATTCAGGTTGGAGGCTCTTGACCTTCGAAATCCTCGAGGGTTAGCAAAAGTTTTGGGTACCCTAATCTCCTTAGCGGGTGTGATGACCATGACATTGTACAAGGGGCCTATTATCAAAAATTTATGGCCTGCACTAATCCATGTTGAAGGAAAATCCTCCATCCATGAGAACTGGCTAAAGGGTTCAATTCTAACCGTTGCAAGTTGCATAACATGGTCGGCATGGTACATCATGCAGGTTTCACCCCTTACTCAAAAGTACACTTACAAATGTATATATGTTGAATTATTGTCTAACGAAGTAATGAAGTTAACTGAAAGTGAGATGTTATTGTCACTCCAAAAAAAATGTAGTTAACTGATGAATATGTAACCGGGTGCACATATTGATCGCTATCTCAACCCTCTCAACCACCTCGACACAACATTCACTGGTTAACTGCTACTTTTATTTGTGGTTAACTTCTTGCATATAAGTGAGACTAAATATAGAATTTCTGATAATTTACATTGGTGATGTTGGCATGTAATTTATACAAATAATTTTCTGAGAAGAATAAGATTATTGTAGGCAATCACATTGAGAAGATATCCTGCACAACTATCATTGACTACATGGATGAGCTTTATAGGGGCAGCACAATCCGCTGTCTTCACCGTGTGTATAGAACATAGACGAGCTGCTTGGACAATCGGATTCAACATTGACCTCTGGTCGACATTATATGCTGTAAGTATCGGGATTTTCTGAAAATGACAGTGAAACTACGACCCATTTTGTAACCATTTTGGATTTTAGTTTTCACTGTTTTAGATGGATACAAGATTGGCGGGAGGTGGAAGAAATTTGCTCGAAATGCTACATAAAATGATAAATAAAAACTTAAAAACTAAATAGTTATTGGTAGCACTCTTCTAATGTGGTGGCGTATCGCAGGGAGTGGTGTGCTCAGGTCTAATAATCTTCATTCAACTATGGTGCACAGAAGAGAAAGGGCCAGTTTTTGTGACCATGTTTAATCCTGTTTCAACAATTTTGGTGGCTGTTTTAGCTTACTTTGTCCTCGGTGAAAGACTTTATGCTGGCAGGTAATTTCTTTTTCGTATTACATCATCCAATCTAATATGATTTTGCTGATAACTTTGTATGATGCACATTATTGAGCCACATTATGTGACCGTAACACCGCCATGTTGTGTTACCAATCTTGGATTAATCTAAAATTTCGTGTGTGGTTTGTTCAGCATAGTAGGGGCATTCATTGTCATCCTTGGTCTATACTTGCTGTTATGGGGAAAAGAAGGTGATGAAGTTTATGTCAAGGCGGAAGAGGCATCTTATCAGACGAAGTATGAAGAGCATAAGGATAATGGCGTGCAGATCACTTCAGCTAACAAAAATGTGCAGCATGGTGAACCATAAAGATAAGATTGGATCCTTCCCTGGAATCCATCGAGATGGAAATCACGAATCAAAATTCGAACATAATAAAAACTAAAAGAAGAAGATGAAGGTGACAAAGAAAAGCTAGTTGAGTGATAAACATGAGAGCAAGAGAATGAAGTCTGCTTTAACCTTGGTTATAGGTAGAGATAAATTCGTGATTGTTTCCGTGGGATGAGGCTGCACATCTTTTAGCCCTTCATGCTCTAAAATCTAAATTTTGATGATTTAATTTGGATTGAAGAAGCACTCTTTAATTTGATTACATAACCAGTTGTAATCCCCAATGTTATCAGAACTTTTCTTCTAATAAGAAACTAGCATCTCACCCGTGCTTGTGACAATTGACTCTTGATTGTTTTAGCCCTTATGTTTTTTAATATTTTATTGGAGGTTGTTTATCTTTGAAGTCCTAGTGGATTAGCAAAAGTTTGGGGCACCGTCGTCTCTTTAGCCGGTGTTCTGACCATGACATTGTACAAGGGGCCTATTGTGAAAAATTTACGGCGTCCATTAATCCATATTCATGAAAAATCCTCCAAGCATGAAAACTGGTTGAAGGGTTCAATTCTAACTGTTGCAAGCTGCATAACATGGTCTATATGGTACATTATGCAGGTTTCACTCCTCACTCAAACTATAATGCAACTACTTGATCATACACAACCATTACAAAACATGCATATGTCGAGAAGTTCTCCAACGAGGTTAACTGAAATTTAGGAGGTGCAGTTAACCGGTGAATATGTGGTGGAGAGTATATCAACTGTCTAACCACCTTCATCGGTTAACTGCACTTTTCAATTACACGGTTTACTACCCACATTGCAGTTTTCCTGCATATATTTGAGACTATATATAGAATTTCCAATAATTGACATGTGCAAATAATTATAAATAAAAATGAAAAATGTAGGCAATTACATTGAAGAGATATCCCGCAGAACTGTCACTGACTTCATGGATGAGCCTTATAGTGGGGCAGCACAATCGGCTGTCTCTGCAGTATGTATAGAGCATAGACGAGCTGCTTGGACAATCGGATTCAACGTTAACCTCTGGTCAATTTTATATTCTGTAAGTATCTTGGATCTTCTGACAACGCCCATGAAATTACGGCCCTGTTAATAACCATTTCGTTTATAATTTATATCTTGAATTTTGTAATATCGAATTAGGGAATGTAAGATGTCGTCTTACGTAGCAAATTATAAGATTCTTCTAATGCGGGAAGACGTATGGCTGGGATCAGTGTGCTCTGGTCTTATAATCTTCGTTCAACTATGGCGCACTGAAAAGAAAGGGCCAGTTTTTGTGGCCATGTTTGATTCGGTTTCAACGATACTGGTTGCTTTATCCTCGGCGGAAGACTTTCTACGGGGAGGTAATGTTTGCATTACTCCCTACAAAATGCATTTACGGGCGCATATCTAGAGTTCATTTAAGGCATTCTACATGTCAATGGCTATCTGTTCTAGTGACATACAGTCTTCACTTTGTTGGAGGAGGTCATCTGATCGACGATAGTTTCATAAAATAAAGAATGTAGTGGCTATGCATGCACATCACTAGAGGGATCACATTTTTAAACCATATTAGTGAAGCGCACTTTTTTGCGCAGCATGGTAGGGGCAGTTATTGTCATTCTCGGGCTATACTTGCTGTTGTGGGGAAAAGAAGGGGATGAAGTTTACATCAAGCCGGAAGAGCGTAAGGATAATGAGATTCAAAATATCACATCATATAAGAAGGATGTGCTGCATGGTGAACCATAAAGATTAGACTGAAATCCATCAAGACAAGAATCACAAATCGAAACTCAAAACCGGGTAAACCTTAGAAGAAGAAGATGTAGGTGACAGGAACGGTCGACTGAGCAGACGGGAGCAAGAGAAATTCCACCAAGAATAGTTTTGCTAGATGCATTTATTTGTCGGAATCTTATTGATAAAAATAGTGCTCAAAACTCAATGAACTTCAATATATGCACAATGCAGATAGAAAGAAATTTGTGACAGAACAAACAGAACAGAAAACCGGCAAGACAGAAAGAAAGAAATTCAGCGTAATACGTTGCCAAGAACCACCAGTACTATCAGATATGCTATTGAAGAAGGTTGGGGTAAAAAAAGTAAGAACAGAATATGGTAAATACTGGACATTTACCAGTCGTTTTATTCCGAAAATGAGAGCCTTCAAGCTACATTTAACAATTCAGCCACACAAGTGCCACCAGCCAAATTAAAATCAGGCAATTGAAACAGCGCTGACATATTGTCAACAATGGATAAAAAGGTCAGTAAATGTAAATGAAGGCATCTAAATTGTCCGAGTACTCTATTTAAAACCTAAGCAGCAGGGGGCCTAAGTTCGTGATCACGAGATGTATCACGGGCCAATGGAGGTATATAGTGCCACATAGGGACCAGACTATAGCTAGGATAGACAGCCATCTTGTTTGCCCCAGGATGATATGCAGCTGGTACCGCTGGGTGGGTTGGAACAAACCCAGAAGGTGAAATTGACATACCTTTCAACTGCTGTTCCAGCCGTTCTTTATCTGCTTTCAGGACAAGTTTTTCTTCACGAAGTTCATTCTTCTCCGCCTGTAACATGCAAGAACAGTAAACTAAGTGCGTACTCAAAAAATTTCTAGAAGTGAAATCTCAAATAATTTTCTTAAATCCTTGCCTCTGATTAAATGCACCAGATTAAAAACCAGTTCATCGTCACAATACAATGGCGGTAGAAGTTCCAACTCAAAGAAAGAATCTGACATATTTTTGTAAGGGATGGACACAAGGCTACAAGATAAGTACATGGGGATTTTACACACTTGGAACTTACATGTTTCGAAGTGGGAAGAAATTGATTTAAAATCAACAAGCAGTAACACAATAGATTATATCCAGGGTACAAACGGGGCAGAAATAAAGCAGGGGCGTATAGAACAAGAAAAAGGGTGCGCGAATATCATTTTCCTATAGTTATAACGGCAAATTATCATAATAATGGATTATTTTTTGGTAGAATGAATCATCTTACAGATGCTACAATAAATCAAGTCATTTTTAAAATTGATGGATTGTAAGAAAACGAAGCAAGAAGGATGCTTGAAATTTTGAGTTTACGAGAAACCACATGATACAAATAAATCAATCATAGACGCCCCATCACAGCTTGGAGATCCTCCAAAAGAGTTTTCTGTTCATTTCAGATCATAGAAAGCAATAACCACATAAGTTTTGATTTACTATATCAGAGAAAGGGTTCAAAAGAATTAAAAGACGTTTATGATAATCTAAAGCCATGTCATTGGTCGTTTCAGATCATCGACAGCATAGTTATTGGTCTTCTCCAACACGCAATTCGGCTGAATTTAAGATAAGCTAAAGCCAAATCTCATAACACTCTTAATGAAACTTTATCATAAAACATTAAGAAAACAAACTTCAAGTAAATGATGTATACCGAACCTTTAAACTTTTAACTTCTTCAAGTAACTTTTGATTTGTTTCTGTGAGCTCCTGAGCTTCAGCTCTAAGCTGGTTCAAAACCCTTATGGCATCATCAAGTATAGCAGCTTTGTCCGTCTTCGGCGGCCTCCCGGGTTCCAAAACACCGCTCAAATCCACAAACCTGCAACAAAATAATCAAATACCAACACTTCTTAATCACAAAGAAAACAAAAACCCACCATTCTTTTCATCATTACAAAACAACCCAATTCTTAAAATCTGTAAAAAAAAAAAAAAAAAAAAAATAGAAAATGAGATTAGATTCATGCCTGTCATTCAATCTCTCCCTCCTCAATTTCTCACGGCAAGCTTTTGCCCCTGATCCTCCAGAGCATGAATCCGTCCGTCCCCTTAACACCACCAATCAAACAGTCAATTTCGTGACAAAAAGTTTGGGGCTTCCGTGACTCAGAAAGCATTACATTTCTGAAGATTTCAGATTTCATCGAAAATGGAATAGGAGGAAATACCTCTTGCGGGGGCACTCTTTTTCCTGTGACAGTGAGGCTGAGGAAGCGGCGGCAGCCGGAACATCGACGGCGGAGAATTCGAAATCGCCGAAAGGAGTGTCATTGGGCCAAAGGAAATCGGTGGGTTGGGTTTCGTCGATGTAATCAAGATACTCTATCCATTCCCCCATTAGAGATTACAAGAGAGACTGAGGACTATGCTATTAATATGATTCTCTGGACTCGTGATGTAAATTTAAATTTGGTTATTTTGGGAAATAAAAAAAAAAAAATCAACAACAACAATTTAAATTTAAATTTTGTTATGATATAGAAAGTTGTTTATTTTTTTTATGAATAATTAGCCTCTTGTCACACAATTAGGTTGACAATTGATTTTTTTTTATTGTTTTACTTTTTTTAAATTTTAGTTATGTTAGATATATTGTTTTTTCATGGAAATGCATTTTGAAAAATAATGAACGTAATCACTCACCTCACACTTTCACTACAAGAGTATTATGAAAAGAATAATATTAGGGAGATCAAAATTTTAAATTAAATTTGCAAACCAAATGATGTGTCACTAACTCACCGATAAGAATTAAATGTGTTAATCAACACTTAAATAATAATTCAATCATCAATAACCATATTATTTGGTTTACAAATTTATTCTCCCTCGCATTACTCTTATAAAAAAGATTAACACAAAGAAAAAAAAATTTATAATATCCAATTTAACCTTCTACCATTAGAGATTTAAAAAACAAAAGAAAAATATTCACACAAAAAAAGATACGTAAGCGGAATGTGAGTGAATAGTAAAATAAATAATAAATAAATAAAAAACGAATTGCAAGAGTATTAATAATTCGAGTGAAGTCGTAAGACATGACATCTTTTTACAAAGAGATAATTGCGTTTGTATAATTATGTCTCAGACGATCATTAGCCACAAGAATAATATAAAATAACATACGAAATGTTACATCAGAAACATCTAAACAATAAGGTATTCATTAAGTTTAATGGTCTCTCTATGGTATGTGATGCGTACGTCACAATTTTGATGAAACTAAAGAAATATCGGTATGAAACTAAAATTGTCCCCGTCGCTAACCAACCAACCAAGGAAAAAAATTTCCAAGATAAAAAATAATAAACCATCACATAAGAAAAGGGAACAAAATCTACCGAAATTTTTTCAATGTACCAAGAACACAAGTCGATACATTGCGTCTCCTAATATAAATGGATAGAAAACATATTTTTCAGTTTCACTCCACTTGTATTATTATGCATGGTGGACTGGCTTGTATTCCGTGGACGTTGAAAATCTCTCAACCAATACAACCTCAATGTTGATAACTTGACTATAGACAGTAAAATTGGTCCAACTACGTTTATTGGCTGCAGCTCTCGCCTTTCGTCATGTTCTTCGTGATTGTTTTGAAGGACACACCAAACTCATTATTCACTTTATTTTACACAACGACTCGAATGACCAGCTATTACTACTATTGGCGTTTCTATCCGAGACTTGACTAGGATACAACTCTTCACACCTCTGCTATCTCAAACATTGAACACTGATTGGCTACTCAAGAATGAGAATAAATTCCTCCTCAAAACGCTTCATGGCGAATTGTAGAATTCCGTCCTTAGGATCAAAACCGTTAATATTGTAAATCATTTTTTGCATATACGACATTTACAAAGTAATTTATAACATAACGGTTTTAATCATAAACATGAAACTCTGGGAATCAACCAAGAAGACTTTCGAGGAGGAATTCTCCACATTTTTTGAGCGGCCTAAGTATTTCCAAGACATAACTAGAAAGGTCACAATGGATTAAGAATACCCCATCTCCAAGAACAACCTAGTGTAACGTAAAAATATACAATATCAAAGATTTAGTAGGTCGTAGTCGTATGATGACTAAGAACTTATTAAGCTTTGGATTAAGATTTAAATTTCCATAAAATGCAGTTATCATTAGTCAGAAGAAATGGCTTGATCAGCACAAGGCTTTGAAGCAAAGTACTGAAAGAAAAGTTAAATGACATGGGCTTCGTTCTTAAGCTTGTCAATCAGCTCGTCTACGGAAGAAACGATAACCCCTGCTTTTCTCTTGGGAGGTTCAGTGACTTGAACCTGCTCTATATCGGATTTGAGTTCCACATTCAGATCCTGTGGAGTGTACTTCTTTATGACCTTTGATTTCGCTTTCATTATGTTCGGGAGTGTTGCATACCTCGGTTGGTTTAGCCTCAGATCGGTGCTGCAAGAGGGCCACAGAAACGGGTATCAGTTACGATTTTTCACCAGAAAATCAGGTTTAGACAAGCTCCCTACTCCTTCCCATCATTCATGATGTATGTGCTGATGTTTTCGCTGCATTTCAGTCCATTACTCTAATTGATATCTCAAATATTCTAATAGTTGAAACCTTCAAAATAATATAGTTACATCATAAAGTAACAAATGTACTTAAAATATCATCAATATTTTGTCATCCTGACACTTCATATCTGTCAAGCTCAATATAAAGATAGGATCCACCACTATTGAATTTGTCTGCCCTTTTAGTATAATTTTACGCAGTAAGACCATTTATCCATATCATTTAATAAGTGAACAAAATAAAATAAAGTGGCATTTATCTTTTCTAATCATATTATTAATTAATGCATGCTGTCTACATTAAGAGTAAAATAAAATTGTTTTAAAACTAATTTGACGCTAATATATAGACAAAAAAGTGAACAACACATTGAAACTAATAATTAGAGAAGCTCATAACTTCTAGGATTACCCTAGCTATCTTAATTGAAGGCTCGGCTTTATCACCACAGCCTTCCTTTATACACTTCTCTCTTTTTAATGGCCTAGCCAACGGAGGTGGAATTGTTTTTATGAGTTTGGTTCTAATTGTCGAACTCCTAAAGAACAGGCAACTATACCCTTGGACTGATTCAAGGCTAACCAGGTCCTTATTTGTAGACCTCAGTATGCCTTAAGCTTTATTGGCTTGGGAAGCCCCTTACCTCAGGGTTGCTTGACGCTGAATGCGTATGGTCCTAGGCAAGGGCCTGAGGTTGTAGGTCTGTAATGGTGGTTGGCTGTTGGGTTTTAATGCTAACACTGCTTCAGGTGAGATATTCAGCTGGACGTTGATCTTGATACCATGCTCTTAAGCCGGCTTGGGATCAAAGAATCTCCAATCTGTTGGTTGAGATGATTCAGCTATTATGGGTTGATTGGTCTTGGCACTGAGTACAGATGTTTGATCAAAGGAAGTTGTTCATTGGAAAAGAAATTTTGGCAGCAGATTTCTTAACTTAGTTGGGTCTTACAAGTGTGTTGGTAATCTATATTATGGTATGGCTGCAATTACTAGACCGAGGTTAATTGTAGTATAGTACTTTGGGTTTAGGCCCGCGATTTAGGTGGGAAAAAAACTAAAGTCTACGTGAGTGGAAATGTTATCTTTGAACCAAATAATGGGGCGAGCTAATCTACTTCTGAGCCGTTCATCTTTTTCATTTTGACAATATATCTCCATCCATCTAGTGTGTACAAACAAGGGAAATGGAGATAATTCTTCCACCAAGCTACAACCAGGGAGATGAAGAAATGAAATTGTAAAGGGGCAGACTGGAGAAAGGTTGAAGAGAAAGGACTGGAGAAAGGTTGAAGAGAAAGGGAGACATGGCACAGTAGCAACAAAAGAAAGAGTTTTGTAATTTTTATTTTCTTGTCGGGTTTGGATAGACAGAGAGTACGACAATTATGAAATCTGTCTTATATATCTTCCTAATAACATTAAATTTTGTGAAAATGCAAACGGAAAGAAATTCCATATATCCAATGTATAATCTTACCCATGGGCCATTAGAGCTTTTTAATCAAAATGGTCTAAAGATTATACTTTTTTCATAAACTAACTGGTCTGAATATTATTGTGATGATTTGTGTAAGCGGAGGGGGCAAGAACAGGGACTGTATTATGCGTGAATTTCATACTTAGAAACCATCCCAGTTTCAATTTCTGCAAGGAACCACACACAAAGCAAAGGATGCTTGTTAACTTCTAAAGGATGACTAAGAAAGATAAGAATATTACATAAGGAAAGAGATGAATGTCCACTAGTGTTTTTGGGATTTATAGCGCCGTGGAAGCAACTGCTTCACTGACTATAAATGGTAAGGATGATTACTATAATTTTTTAGGATAACTTCTATTTATAACAGAAATAACTAATGCTTACTTCAAATTGAACTACTTCTCAAATTCAGAAAATAGTTTGAAGTTTTTGTTATCAAGTAATTAAGTTTGAACTATTGAAGTTTGAAAGCTGTTTCAATTTCCTAATTGATCCTATCAAAGTGAACAATTTATATTTGCAAAGTTTCCAATTCTCTAAATGAACAATGCATTTGAAAGTGAAAAGAGAAGCATCTAAAAGTCCAAAGGGTCCACACAGGAATACATGACAAGATCTGATACTTACGTGATCACTGCTGGCAAATCTAGACACAGAGTCTCGAGACCACCATCTACCTCTCTGTCTACTGTTACTACCTGCTTCTCCTTATCCAGCACAACCTACTGGAAACATTTCGTCATAGGAATAAATTCATAATGTATGAAAATCAGGCTAGAACAGAATGCAATATCAATAACATGTGACAAAATCAGTATGTATGCCTCTAACTATAGTATCACCACCATAATTAGTAGTCTTTACAACCTTAGTTCACTTTTAGAACCTTCCATCGTGCTATCTGGCTTTGTGGCATGCTGCGTTTCAAAATATACTTTGACCAATGCAAACAAACTTTTACAAAACAGCGTCCAATTTTCCACTAGTTATTCTCTATGACCTCAGAAGTCATAAAGAATCCAGGTGGATAGGGATATCTGTAGAACTGATGCAGGACGAACTAAGGGAAAGGGAGATATAACCTGGGAATCACTCAACCAGGGCAACGGAACTCGCTCGATGTTGCTATGGGGATAGAACCTGGGAATCACTCAACCAGGGGCAATGGAATCACTCACATCGCTAATTATGGATTCACTCAACACGACCAAGCCTAACACTTGATTTAAGGAAGGAGAAAACTCACTCTTTTCTTAGATTGATTATAATTCACTAATTGACTTTTTAATCTTACATATGGAACCCTTTAAATAGGAGGCTACCTTACATTGATAGGATAAATAACTTAATACTAAAGATTATAGTTACTAGGCATCTAATTAAAACATGGCTTTGAAAGATGAAAAGTCGCCAACAACATGTTTAATATAGGGACCATATTAATTGTTATGCACTGCATCAACAGATGTACTTGGAAAGCATAGAGAGAGGAACACCTCCCTAACCTCAACTTCCTGGATATCAATTTCTGAAGAAAATGGGGTAGTGCTCATATCCCACTACAATTTAAAACAATAGTAAACCAAACCCTTTGATCACCCTTAAAAACAAAAGACGCATTAGAAACCGATAATCAGCAGCATCAACAAACTATATTATCTATTAACTCCAGTGTCTAAACAGTTTGAATTTTCTATTTACCAATTAAAATCCCCAAAAGCAACACATGGAGTTCAAATATTGTCTCATATTCACCTACATTTGAAACCTTCAAAAAATACTGCACGAACAGCTTGATGATATATTCCCTAATTGCTTAATCGCATCAAACAAAAGAAAACCAAGGAAGCGTGAAACCGAAGTATAAAAATTGCAAGCAACTGTATTTCTTCTCTAGCTGAATGAATGAAGAGAGAAAAACTGACCTTTGAAGCAAAGGTCCCTTGAGGCCAGTTCAGAAGCCCTGCAACCATTTGCCCTGTTTGATTGCAATCATCGTCGATAGCCTACACAAACATTCAAATACGCACAAAAGATCAAATTTCCACTTCCACAAACCAATACCAACCATGCAAAGCCACAAAATTCAAATCCATTTTAATTACAGGAGCAATATTCTAATTAATTTAATCCAATCTACGACACAGAGAGATTCGAACTTGAATGCAGACGAGCGCGACCGTCTTCCTCAAAACCCCATAAAAACTAAAAGAAATTAACTTATAACCTGTTTGCCCAGGATAAGAAGTCCAGGCTTCTCAACCTTCACGAGAGCTCTCAGAAGCTTAGCAACGGATAAAGGGTAGAGAGGGCCATCAGTCTCCACATGGATTCCCCTATCGGCGCCCATAGCCAACCCTGTCCTGAGCGTATCCACGCACTGTTTTAGTCCCATGGAGACAGCCACCACCTCCGATGCCATCCCGGACTCTTTAATCCGGAGGGCCTCTTCCAAAGCAATCTCGCAGAAGGGGTTCATCGACATCTTCACGTTCTGGGTTTCCACGCCGCTCTGTGAAACGGAAGAATTGAAACTGTTGGATTAGAATTACATGAATTTGAAACGAAACAAGAAATGGGATGGGATTGGATTGGCTTGCCTTGTCCGGTTTGACTCGGATTTTGACTGCGTAGTCGACGACGCGCTTCAATGATACCATTATCTTCATGGTTTCCGGTGGGAGTGGGACTGAGATGGTAATGGCGATTGGGATTGGATAATAATCCGATGAGAGAAGACGAGTGAGGAGGAGAGAGAGTTGGAAACGGCATTGCTGAGCTAGCAGTTGCTAGGGGTGGGCACGGTGCGGTTCGGTGCGGTTCCACCCCTAAATTGGAACCGGAACCGAAATATATTAACGGTTCGATTCGGTGCGGTTTCACTTAAATTTATGACTAGAACATTACGGTTCGGTCTACACCGGTTCCGATTCGGTTCTTGCCGGTTTACGGTTCCTAATAATAACTTATTTGAACACCAAATCATTATGCATTTAAATACATCTTCTAAAACTGATTACATAAAGTTGCATACAACACATCTTTTTTAATGCAAATGTCTTTGGTAGTGGCACCAAGTCAACAAAAAGAGACAACTAAAATACATATGCACTGGTCAATCAGTCAACAAACAAAAAAATGATGAAACAAATTGCAAGTTTTCAGACTTCAGAGAGCAAGCAAGAAGCAGCAGCTCCTGTACACAATTTTTTCAACCTATTTTTCAACCTATTATACCATGACATGTGTGTGTATATATAATTTATTTATTTATTATTAATAAAACGGTTCGGTTCGGTTCAGTCGGTTCTTGGTCATTCGAAACCGGAACCAAAACCGGTTTGAACGGTTCGGTTCGGTTTTTCACTCAAAGTTGACTTTTCCGGTCAACACGGTTTTTTTCGGTTTTTTTTCTTACGGTTGGATGCGGTTTTGCGGTTTGGCGGTTTTTATGCCCACCCCTAGCAGTTGCTACTAGTAGATAAATGGTGCCGCAAAACTTTCTTAGCGTGAGCTCTTATTTTATATTTCTTTTCTTTTCTATTTCACAATTTAAATTCGACGACATGTGGAAAATCAATACCAAGGGAGAAAATAGGAAATTAACTTTTGTAGGAGGGTCAAATTATTTTTATTCGTTAGTAGCGTTTTTCAAGTATAAGCATTCAAGTGGTACTCAAATGTCATAATAGAAGTGGAGGAAATGATATTTAATTTTGTGTCTCTTCACTTATTTTATGACATGTGAAATACCTGCTTGAATATCGAGCATTTGGAAAATTTCTCATTAGTAGGACATTAATTGTGTCGATGAATTTTCTAAGGCTGGAGTAAGATAGATCTAAATACGAATAACTTAGAAGTCTTGTCATGGCTCAATAGCTTTAATCGAATTGGGCTGCTCAAACATACCAACGATACCACCACATCCTACTATATTCCGGAAAGATAGGCGAAGTCCGCCAACTTCACTAAGATCGACCATTCTTGTTTCATAAGACATGGAAACCTAATCTGACTGGGAATCAGCCGGGTTTCCTATATTCTAGGACATTCATACAATTTAGGGATTCGCATGCGCCCCAAGTAATCACACTTTTAAGAGGAAACAATATCTACTTTTAGATATCCTCTTGGATTCTCCCAAATTAAACCTGATTTTCCAACTAGTTAAATAACTCACCTATGGCATAACTCTGGTAACGCAATCTATACTCCTTGCTTATTCTGTTGCCCGCTGCTTACTAACTTAACTATCACATAGCCTTTGATTGGTACCCCATCGGTACCCAATGTCTGCTTGGTTGTTTACTTTCTTACAAGTAGCGGACTTGAGCTCTTCCGCCCATTATAGTGCACCATTGATACAAACATGTGCGATGAATAGCACAAAGACCAGATTGTCATCATACCATCGCAAGTGGGATCCTAACGCAATCACGATCCTTTGGACACTGCAAGGGTCTCCCACATAGAGCCTAGGTACCTTGACTTCGACGATCCAGAGTTATCTAAATACTAAGAGTGACGTAGGCTATTAAATCATGACAACCCTAGGGACGTTCTGAAAGATGCTCGGAATCAACTGTCTAGCAAAGTTGTTGCAAGGGTCGAAGCTCTCTTTCTTCAACCACTAAATTTGCACCTTCTTCGAAGAAATTTACTCAGCCTAGCATCAAACACTTATGTGAAGACTCGAATGTGGAAGTAATAAAAAAAAAAAGAAAGAAAATGAGTTGTTCTTTCTTTTATCACTTAGGAACTATGAAAGATGAAACAACAGCATGCACTATAGGAACGTTATGACGCTACATAACAATAATGATGCATGGATGTGCAAATGTTTCCATGTACAATAGCCGTGAGGTGGTCTTTGGAGTTGCTAGCCCACTTCATCAATAACTATGAAACCCTCGTTGACATCTTCAAAAATACCTTCTTAGCATATTGTGGTATCTGCAAACGCCACGAGGCTGTGTTTAGCATGGAGTCTCACCGATGAATCTAGAACGTTTTGTCTCGATATATGTGCATCCGAAGATTAGAATCACTTGATAACTCAAAAAGTAGCTATTCGTTTTTTGTTCACACACGAAACATTGTCTCTCATTATTGATGTCTTTATGGCACAACTCTTGAGATTACACGCAAGAATTCAGAACGTCTTCACTACCTCACAATGGTAATGAGACTGAATCACGTGTTAAAAAATATCAAACGCTGGCTATTTCAATTTACTTTGAAAGGCATGGCCATTGGGTAATTATTCCACGTCAAGCGGAACGCCTTTTCAGATACATAGTTAGGGGCATTTGTAGGACCATGAATTTCCCAAGGCCAAAGTAAGGCGGATCGGAATACGCGTACCTCAGAAATTCGATCATTGACTCAATAACTCTGGTCATGGACTTAATGAGATCGATCATTCTTGTTCTGCAAGACACATAAATCCTGATCCAACTGTGGTCAAACGTGTAATACCCTGAAAATTTAAAATATATGATTATGTGGAGTAAATCGAGAATAAATAGATTCATGGTTATAAAAATTTGATTAGAGAAATTTTAGAATTTTGTTTCCAAAATTTATTATAATTTATGCCGAAAAATTTATTGATAAGTGGAAAAGACGAAAATGCCCTAGTTGACTAAACGTAGTTTTATGAGGACATATTTTATCCTCATGTATTTTATCATATTTCTTAACGTATTTGGATAGAGTTCGATTCTACGAAAGCATAGGCGAAAACCATTTGTGAATCAGAATTGAAACAAAGAAATTAGAGGTTTTAGAAAAAAAATATAAAAATATAAAATAAATAAAATAATAAAATAAAATAAAATAAAAACGGAAGAGGAGTTTGGAAGTTGCCAGATGGCAGCGTGAAACAGGAGGAAAAAGAGAGATGCAGGCAAAAGAAGGGAAAAAGGGGAACCAATCTGGAAAAAAGAGGGGAGGGGGGGGAGAGAAGGGTGAACCCAAATGAGGGAAATGAGGGAAGTAGGGGTGGGCACGGTGCGGTTCGGTGCGGTTCCACCCCTAAATTGGAACCGGAACCGAAATATATTAACGGTTCGATTCGGTGCGGTTCCACTTAAATTTATGACTAGAACATTACGGTTCGGTCTACACCGGTTCCGATTCAGTTCTTGCCGGTTTACGGTTCCTAATAATAAATTATTTGAACACCAAATCATTATGCATTCAAATACATCTTCTAAAACTGATTACATAAAGTTGCATACAACACATCCTTTTTAATGCAAATGTCTTTGGTAGTGGCACCAAGTCAACAAAAAGAGACAACTAAAATACATATGCACTGGTCAATCAGTCAACAAACAAAAAAATGATGAAACAAATTGCAAGTTTTCAGACTTCAGAGAGCAAGCAAGAAGCAGCAGCTCCTGTACACAATTTTTCAACCTATTTTTCAACCTATTATACCATGACATGTGTGTGTATATATAATTTATTTATTTATTATTAATAAAACGGTTCAGTTCGGTTTGGCCGGTTCTTGGTCATTCGAAACCGGAACCGGTTTGAACGGTTCGGTTCGGTTTTTCACTCAAAGTTGACTTTTCCGGTCAACACGATTTTTTTTGGTTTTTTTTCTTACGGTTCGATGCGGTTTTGCGGTTTGGCGGTTTTTATGCCCACCCCTAGAGGGAAGGGAGAAGGAAAGAACCGACCAACCTAGTTCTTTGACCCGGTCATATCTCCTTCGTCCGATGTCAGTTGAAGGTGATTCCGATGTCCATAGGAAGCTCTTGGCGAGCCCAACATCCATGAGGTGTTGGATTTCTCAATTTCTTACCCAATTTTAGAAATCGAAGCCACAAACCCACGGTTGTCCCGGCTGTTTTCTTCCTTTTTCTGTGATTCCAACAACGATTATCGTCGATCCCCAGCACCAATAAACTTCCCTCAACCCCAGGAGCAAGGCCCAATCATTGAATGAGGCTGTGAACACGGAAAATTCCTGAAACAAGAGACAAGAATAACGCGTACAAAATATATTTTTGTGTTTAATGATTTTGGGGTTACAATCTCTTTGGAATTTGATCCTCTGATTCTATCTTCGTAGGGTGTAGGTTTGTGGATGAGCTGTTGATCCAAAGGGCCGTCGGGGCTTGATCTAGGGATGAACAGTTGATGAACAGATCTTCGAGGGCTTTTGAGCTTGATCTTGAAGACTGGGTGTATGGATTTCTTCAAGGGGGCCGTCGGGGCTTGACCTTGAGGGTTGATGGATGAGCGGATCTTCAAGGGCTTTTGGGCCTAATCTTGAAAACTGGGTGTATGGATTTCTTCAAGAGGCCGTCGGGGCTTGATCTTGAGGGTTGATGGATGAGCGGATCTTCAAGGGCTTTTGGGCCTAATCTTGAAGACTGATTGGATGTGTGGATTTGTTGAGGTTGTTGATCCAAAGGGTCGTTGGGGCCTGATCTTGGGACGAACAGATGATGAACACTTTCTTCAAGGGGCCGTCGGGGCTTGATCTTGAGTCGGCGGAAGTTCTTCAAGGGCCGTTGGGGCTTGACCTTGAAGGAGGGTTTGACGAAGAACGAAGAGTGTTTTCTTGATCCTTCGGGATTTTGCTTGAGAGCTTTAGAGTTTCAAGGCTTCAAGGTTTTGGTGTGATGTAAATTCCCTTCCTTCTTTCTCTTCTTCTTTTCTTTCCCTCTCGAAATGAATGCCTTGGCCTCCTATTTATAGAATTCCAAAACTTGATTTTTGGATTTAAATAATCAGATGAAATAAATCATTTCTGCCAGATATTGACACGTGTCCTATTTGATGACCTTTCCAATTTATTTCGATTTTTCGTTGAGTCACACGCTACATGTAAAATTTATGTGACACGTAAGCGTTGAAATTTTAATTATTGGTTAACATTCATTTCACCGAAATTTCGATGTCTACAAATGCCCCCACTTCAAGGCGCGTCGTTGACATGTGCTTGTCACGTGTATGAGATGCGTTTTGAAGTTCCTTAATGTAGATGTCGATCCAAGGGCCGTCGGGGCTTGATCTTGAATTGGGCTGGAAATTTCTTCAAGGGCCATCGAGGCTTGATCTTGAGTTCGACTGGAAGATTTTCTGGTTTCCTCCAATCGTTGATTTTCCTTTGTGCTACTCTTGAACTGGGCTGGAGGATTCTTTTGGTCTCCTCCGAAGGTCTGAACTTGCTCCTTTTATATGGAGTTGAATTTGATTCAAGGGTGGTGAACACTTGATTTTGAATCGGACTTGTGATTTCTTCAAAGGCCATTGAGGCTTGATCTTGAACTGGGCTGGAGGATTCTTCTGGTCTCCTCCGCAGGTCTGAACTTGCTCCTTTTATATGGAGTTGAATTTGATTCAAGGGTGGTGAACACTTGATTTTGAATCGGACTTGTGATTTCTTCAAGGGCCATTGAGGCTTGATCTTGAACTGGGCTGGAGGATTCTTCTGGTCTCCTCCGTTCGTTGATTTTCTTTTGTGCTACTCTTGAACTGGGCAGCAGGATTCTTTTGGTCTCCCCCCGAAGGTCTACGAGCGGTTTCAGGATATGGCAGGCAAGTACAAGGTGGAGGTGCTGACCTGTTTCTTTGTTCAATCTTTCCAATTCGTATTGAAGAGGGTTGGAAAGATTGAAGTTTCCTTGTCCCTTCTCTGGCAGTGTATCAACCGTTGAAGATGACTACTCGAGAGCAATACTAGGTAAGCAATTAGGAATAGATTCCAGGTAGTCGGTTCCAGATCGGAAGACTGACTCCAAGTGCCGCTGACTGCTCTCTTTCACTTTGCCATGCGAGTAATAACAAAGACAAAGGAAAAGACAGGGAAAAAGCATGATATGAGATACCTTTGCTTTCGAAGAAGCAGCAAATGAATCAGCACATATATTTGTTATGCTTGTCTCCACATGCTTCGATGTATCATTTTCACTTGCCTTACTTGCTCCCCTTTGCAGAAGTGGTATTTCCTTATGCAGGTTTAGCATCTTTTCTTGTAGTATTTGTCCTCCGATGCAGGAGTTGAATGCAACCTTTGCATTTAAATGGTGCTTCACTCCTTGGTGGCAACTGGTTTGAGTGGAGGTTCCGACATATTGCTTCCTCTGTCCTTGTCTTGGCAGGTGAGAACAAGGGCAAAGGAAAAGATAGGGAAAAAGCATGATATGAGATACCTTTGCTTTCGCCCTTGATGATATGAGATACCTTTGCTTTTGAAGAAGCGGTGAATGAATCAGCACATGCTTCAATCTATCGTTTCCTCCTGGGTCATCTGTACTCCAGGCATCTGGTATCTTCAAAGGTTGAATAGGTTTTCTCAAAGGAAGAAGAAGAGTTGTGTATTTCGAGAGGGTTTGCTGGGAGTGCGCCCTCAGAGGTGAGGAAGAGTTGGGCATTTTCTTCAGGTCTGCCTTGCCATAAGAGACGAAGGTCGACACATATAGGGATTTCTTAATAGCAAGTGGTGGTCTTGTTCTTTTACCCTTGTCGACAGACGTCTCTTCGATATCTGAACGACGCCTCTTCGATTTCTGAACGACGCCTCTTCGATTTCTGAACGAGCGCCACTTTTGACAAAGTTGCACGCGTTTTCTGAAAAGCAGAGAAAGCGTTGCCGAACTTTGCGCCTGTCGGCTAAAGACGTGTAGTTGCGATGATGGCCTCCACGTGTTCTCGACTTTGTCAGATATCTTTTGACAAAGTTGAACGCGTTTTCTGAAAAGCCGCGAACGCGTCGCCGAACTTCACGCTGGAAAATCCGGATTTTTGAATCGGTGGTCGTGTCGCTTGGCTTTTTATAGAGCGGCATTGATCACCCCAACATTCACACTCTGAAGATTGCCCATTCTTGAAAAATTGTCTCCGACCCTTTGAAATTTTTTATCCCTTCTCTTTGAACACCTTTGAAAAATGACTAACTCATCGAACCTTTGCTTAGATTTGAGTCTCAGCAGCAATCCGGTTGTGCCCCGTCAAGGTAATGTATGGTGCCCTTATTTTTTATCTTCTAACGGTCCTCTTACAGGTGAAGACTCTGTGATGAAGGACGCAACAACAGCTACGATAGTAGCTAGGAACCTCCTCACTCCTGAAGATAGTCGGCTGCTTTCAGGACGGTCCGATGAGTTGGCCGTTCAAGAGTCCCTCGCTCTCAGTGTTCAGTGCGCAGGCTCTGTGTCCAACATGGGCCAACGCCTACTTGCTCGCTCCCGCCAAGTTGAATCCTTGATGGCGGAGGTGGAAAGTCTCAAGCAAGAGATCAAGCAGCTGAAGTATGAGAATAGAAGTTTGCACGTGCTTGCAAACAACTATTCGACGGGCATGAAGAGGAAGCTTGATGAGCTGCAAGAGTCTGAAGGTCGGATTCAAAGTGACCGTCAAAGGTTTTCGTCTTTCCTCCAGAGGCACATTTTTCCTGGGTCTTCCAGCGTTTGGCCAAGTATTGAGGCCTCGAATGCTCTATCTTCGATGCCTCCCGCTCCGATGCCTTCCGCTCCGAGAGTTTTGCCAAATAATGGGGCTTTACGTGAACATCCTTTGTGAAAGCTCCAATCTTGTATTTTTTTTTTTTTTTTTTTTTTTTTTTCATGTGTAAGCACATATCTGTAATTTATCAGAGATATCAATAAATAAACCTTATTTTATTTAGCGTAATGTGCTAAATAGAGCGCATATATATATATATATTATTTTTTCCACATGGTGCCGGTGCACCAAGATCCTCTTTTTTTTTATTGTTATTTTTTTTCTTATTGCTTTCGGTGGTACTGATCCTCCAAGATAGATCTTTTTTTTTTTATTATATTTTTTTTCTTTGCTTTCGGTGGTACTGATCCACCAAGATAGATTTTTTTTTTTATAATATTTTATATATATATATATATTTTGGACATTTGCTTTCCCCATGACACCATCATTTCTACCACTTTTCCTTTTTGTTTTGGCTTGCTAATAGTAGCATGCATCATCTTTTTTTATTTTATTTATTATTATTATTTTTTTTATTTTTTATTTATATATATGGTGCTCTGCAAGGCTAGGTTTGTGGGTGAAAACCCAGGCCGAGTTCGAGAGAAGACGGAGGAGATCTTTGGGTGTGAGTTGACAAACTTTGATTTTGTCAATCACATTCAAAGGCAGCAGCAGAGGCAAGCAGACAGATGAGATCTTTGGGTGTGAGTTGACAAACTTTGATTTTGTTGATCACATTCAAAGGCAGCAGCCATGGCGGAAGTGCAGAAGCAGCCAGAGCTTGAAGTAGTGCAAAGCGTCGAGCTTGAAGACCGGCTAGTCGTTTGACAGCGGTCAATGAAGCTCTTCGTTGATTTTGATCATGGTGGCCAGAGTGAGGAGCTTGAGGTAGTTAGTGGATGTTGTTGCTGGCATGTGCATTGAAGCCACCGAGAGCTGCAGTCATTGCGGATCCAGTAAGGTTCTTGAGCATGTTAAGTTCACAGAGGGACGCCACGTTGGTTTTCAACACCTTCTGCACCACATCGCCCTTGATCATAGCCTTGCAGACCACTGACTTGCCGCGGCCTTCTATCCAGCTCACTGCAGCGGGCTTCTTGTCTGAGCAGTAGTTGCTCGAAATTCCAATCACATCCATGTCAGGGAAGTCGTTCTGGAGGATATCCAACACGTTTTGCACACCTTTGGAGACCATGTTCATTCCCGTAACATCACCAGTGCTGCAGGTGAATCTCATGTACAAGTTCTTCCCAGTAATGGCACACTTAATTGTCTGAAGCCTCCTACAGGTCTCAGTGAACATCTGCCAAGGAACATCGCCAACAAGCATCCAGTCATCATCCTTGTCCTCGAAAGTCAGAACAAATTCAGAACCATTGAGAAGATCCATCAATCGACTCGCACTCAGACCATCTCGCTCGGGAAGTCCATTAGAACTGCACTGCCCAATGGTGAAGCAGCTAAACATCTTCTCCAGAGCCATGGAAAGTTCAGTGTAGTTGTTGTAGGTTTTAAGGTCAACTTTTCGCAGGTATGGAGCGCCGTCCATGCTAACCTTCACATAAAGGCACCCGGACCCTTGTTTACCCGCAGCGTCATCGTTGTTTTTCGCCAGACTAGAGGCCATGGAATTCTTCCGAAATGATCGACTTGGGGGCCATCCTACCACCTGTGCCTTGCAAGAAGGAGAAGCAGCAGCATGCTCAGAGGCCAGAGTGTTCTTCTTCTCCAACTGAGCTGCTGGCTTTGGCGACAGAGGAACGGAAGAAACCTCCTTCTTGGCTAATGGAGAACCCAAGACTCCTGCTTTACCCACATCAACCTCAGATCCATTACTCATGGTAAAAACCTATTTCTCAGAACACCCATCAATGGCGTCAGAGAATCCCCTTTTTGCCCCTGACACAGGTTTCTTTGGAGGGTGTTGAGGGAGCGGTTGTGGAGGATTTTTCTTGCGGCTGTGGTCCAGCGGCCTTGAATCGGAATCACAAGGTTTTGTGCACCTTCTAAAACGAGATCAATGGCCTCCACCAAGCTGGCGTGTGGTTCCAAATGCCTAACAAGGCCAGATCCTTTCGGAATCAAAACCTCCAGCGGAGCCTCGAGCGCTCTCGCCGGAGACGACAAGTTCTCTTCTTTCCCCAAGAAGCATATAACGTCCAATCTCTCTTTCACGAACTGCACCAGCTCATCTGGCGGACCACCGCAATCAATGTACGCCATCAGGTCACCTGCGGAAAGCGTGGCAATGGCAGCTGCCACGGACTCTTGGCAGGTGTTGAGGGTGTATTGGGAGATCTCCCCGATCATCCTGCCGTCCTCGTCAAGAATGGCAACCGAAGTTTGCTGGGTGAGGGATTGAGAGATGAGGGGCAATGAGGCCGAGGCAGGGTCGTCGTAATGAACGGCTAGGATGTTTACGGTGTCGATGGCATGGAGGGAGTTGATGGGGGTGTTTGAGGTGGGGCTGAAGAGCCCTATGTAGTTGAGGAGATGGCGAATGATGTCTTCTTGTGTGAGCCAGCAGTATTCACGGTTGTTGTGGAGAAGAAGCACTTTCAGAGAAGAGAGACTGAGGGTTTGAGTTTTGAGAGGCGAGTTGCTGATGGGCTTTGAGAGCTGGGCTCGCTGGCTTTGGAAAGAGGAGTAAAAATTTTGGAGCCGGCCTTTTTTTTTTTTTTTTTTTTTTTTTTTTTTTTTTGCTGATTTTGGGATGACACATATACATGCATTCCCTTTTTTTTTTTTTTTTTTTTTGAATAGAGAATATATATATAGTAACATATGTATTTTTGTTCTTTTCTTTTGTAATAAAATTGACTTTCTTTAATGAAACATTTATTTATTTATTTTGATGTGACTGTACTTGAAGTTTTGAAGTTTCAAGTTGCCTACGTACTCTTCCAAAGAAGAGATCAAGTCATAACGTAGTTCAAATGAGTGATGGCTTTGATGATGATTTTGCCGTACACAGTTTATGCTCTTGCGGGCCAGGAGCGTGATGCGTTTGCTTTAGGGGTAGTAGCGCTTCAAAAATCTGCCGTTGATGGGGCCGATCTCCAACCCGTCTTCTGCCATGATTAAGTAGGCGCCATTGGTGTAGATCTCTTGTATTACGTAGGGTCCATCCCACTTTGATGTGAACTTGCTTTTTGTCTTATGAGTTGTAATGATAGGCCTACGCAATGCCAGCACGAGATCTCCGGCTTGGAAAGACCTTGGGCGGACTTTCTTGTTGAATGCCTTGGATAACCGTGCTTGGTAGCATTCCAAGTGTTGTTGAGTTTCGAGCCTTCTCTCATCCAACGCTTCCAACTCCTGAAGGCGCAACTTTGCATTTTCTTCATCAGTCAAGCCTTCTTGTATAGCCATCTTTAGTGAGGGGATTTGACTTTCCAGCGGTAGAACAGCTTCTACGCCATATACGAGAGAATAAGGTGTAGCTTGGGTAGGAGTCTTATGTGTAGTCCTATATGCCCAAAGTGCTTCACTTATTCTTTCATGCCAGTCTCTCTTTGTTCGGCCGATTACCTTTTTCAGGAGGTTGCACAGCGTCTTGTTGAATGCTTCCGCGAGGCCGTTGGCTGGAGCATGATACATGGAAGACTTGTGCTGCTTGAACTTGTATTTGTCGCAAAGCTCGTCCACGAGTCGGTTGGAGAACTGCTTTCCGTTGTCAGTGATAATGTAGCGAGGCACCCCATACCGGTGGATGATATGCTCCTTGATGAAACGAATAACAGTTTCCTTTTTTACTTCCCTTAAAGGTATGGCTTCAGCCCACTTGGAGAAGTAATCTGTTGCAGCTAGGATGTAAGCTTCCCCCGCAGATGACTTTGGCGTAATTGGTCCTACAACGTCCAATCCCCATGCGTCGAACGGCCATGAAGCAACTGTAGGGTGTAATGGTTCAGGCGGTTGATGTATGAAGTTGGCATGGAATTGGCAAGCTTGGCACCTTTTGGCGTGTTCCAGGCAGTCCTTCACCATGCTCGGCCAGTAATAACCCATTCTTTTAAGCTGGAAATGTAGCTTTGGTCCAGATTGATGTGCCCCACACACACCTGAATGTGCTTCTTCCATGGCTTGATTAACTTCTTCCTCACCTAGGCATCTCAGGAGCAGTCCTTCAAAAGAGCGTCGGTAGAGTGTTCCTTTGTAGTAAAGGAAACGAGGCGCTCGTCGACGTATTTCGGAACGGTGTCTAAGATCATCTGGAAGCTTTCCGTGCTCTAAGTAGTCAATCAGCGGCTGTCTCCACTCTTCAGCATCGACTGGGAGTACTGAGATGACATTTGTATCATCTAGTGACATTTCATTAACGAGCGGAATCACCCATCTTTGGCAAACCGACACGTCTGCAACTTCATCTTTTCCTAGTGTCATACTCGAGGCTAGATTGGCGAGAGCGTCTGCCATTTGATTTTCCTTTCTTGGCACATGTTCTAGTGTCACAGCTTCGAACTTTTGTAGCAGTTGGGTCGCTAGCCGGAAGTATGGGACGAGATCATCTTTCCTCACCTCATATTCAGTTAAGAGTTGGTTGATTATGAGCTTGGAATCGCCATATACCTCAAGAGCTGTGATTTCCATGTTGATCGCCATTTGGAGCCCGATGATCAATGCTTGGTACTCAGCAACATTGTTGGAGCATAGCTCATTCAGTTGGAAGGAGTAAGGTAGTATGTGCCTTTGTGGTGACATGAATACTACTCCTGCCCCCGCTCCATCTGCTCGTGCGGATCCGTCGAAGAACATCGTCCATGTCGGGAAGATGTCGATGTAGAACACCTCCTCGTCAGGCAAGTCGTCTGAGATTTTCCAATCAGCCGGCATTGGATGATCGGCCAGGAAGTCTGCTAGCGCTTGTCCCTTGACGGCTTTAGCTGGGACGTAGATGATCTCGTATTGATTAAGAAGCAAAGCCCATTTAGCGAGTCGCCCTGTCAAGACTGGCTTAGTCATAACGTATTTGACAGGGTCGGCTTTAGCAACCAAGTGGATGGTGTAAGCATGCATGTAATGTCTGAGTTTCTGGATGGCAAACACCAAAGCGAGGCACATCTTTTCTATTGGGGAATAGTTCAACTCAGCGCCGGTGAGAGTTCGACTGAGGTAGTAAAGTGCTCCTTCCTTTTGGGATTCATTCTCTTGCGCCAAGAGTGCTCCGATTGAACTTTCCTGAGCAGCAATATACAATATGAGTGGTTTCCCAGGCACAGGTGCCCCCAGGACAGGTGGGCTTGACAAATATTTCTTTATGCTTTCAAAAGCATTATGGCATGCTTTGTCCCATACGAATGGAACATCTTTCTTCATAAGGCGACTAAACGGTTGACAACGCCCTGCGAGGTTGGAGATGAAGCGTCTGATGTAGGCTAACCGTCCTTGTAGACTTTTCAGCTCGTGCAGGTTTCTTGGCTCAGGCATGCTTTGAATGGCCTTGATCTTTGATTGGTCTACTTCAATACCACGGTGCTTGACGATGAAGCCGAGGAATTTTCCAGAGGTGACGCCAAACGCACACTTTAACGGGTTCATCTTGAGGTTGTATTTTCGCAGCCTTTCAAACACTATTCGTAGATCCTTCAAGTGGTCTGATCTTTTCTTCGTCTTAACCACCACATCATCTACGTAACATTCTACGTTTTTGTGTAGCATGTCATTGAAGATTTTCTGCATTGCGCGTTGATACGTAGCTCCAGCGTTCTTTAGACCAAAGGGCATCACCTTGTAGCAGTAGATACCTTTTGGAGTACGAAAGGCTGTTAGTTCCTCGTCTTCGAGGGCCATGCGAATTTGATTGTACCCAGAAGAGCCATCCATGAATGATAATGCCTCATGGCCAGTGGTTGCATCCACCATGATTTCAATGATTGGCAAGGGGAAGTCATCCTTTGGGCAAGCATCGTTGAGGTCCCGGAAGTCTACGCAAACACGTATTTGTCCTGATTTCTTAAGGACAATGACGATGTTGGAGATCCATTTGGGGTATTGTACTTCTCGAATAAAGCCTGCTTCGATTAGCTTGTCAATCTCGACCTCGATTTGTGGGATAAGCTCAGATCGATAGCGTCTTTGAGTTTGCTTTATCGGCCGTGTTCCAGGCCTGACCGCAAGATGATGAACAGCGATGATAGGGTCCAGGCCGGGCATTTCTTTGTAGGTCCAGGCAAAGACGTCTTTGTAATCTAACAACAGCTGATAATACTCCTCTATCTCGTCTGTACTTAATAATGCACTTACGAAGATAGGCTTTGGTTCCTTGCTTGTACCTAAGTTGAGTTCCTTGAGATCATCGATCGTGGCTTGCCCCCCATCTTCGAGCTGTGGTGGTGCAGCAGTGACATCTTCCTCGGGGATTTCGTCTTCTTTACCTTCTTGAACCGTGATGTGGAAAACATCTTGGATCTCCTCTTCAGTGCTGTCTTCTCGAGCTTGTTGGCATAAGGATTGTCTGGTGTCGTTAAGCCTCTTGAAGACAGAGGTTCGGTCTTGACCACCAATGCGATTAAGCACTGCAGTTCTGGAGCTTGAATGGCTCATCCTATCGAAGACCGATGTCCGAGGGGAGGGTTTAGGCTCTTCTTGGTCTCGTTCAATGCTCACGCTGATGTGTTGAGCGTTAGTGTTTTTTGCTTTGTTTGAAATCATCACAGGTGCATTTGGTGTGAAACCAAGTCCGGCTTTGTTGTTGTCAACTCCGTAACCATGCTCCTTCAACTTCTTTTGAGTTTTGGTGAGGTTACGTTCTTCGTCATTGACAGTGTTTGAAACCTTCTTTCCAGCCACTGCAGAAGAAGCGAAGTCGTACCCGGCCCTTGACATGAGTTTGTAGGCGTTAGGGTCGAAACCTTCATCGGTCCTCTTGGTTGGAAGAAAGCTTGATTCCACCTTCTTTGG